CACCCAACCCCTTCTCCTTCACAGACTTACCTGCAGGGCGCTGCTCTCTATGCTGCCTGGCTGTAGTCCTGGCCACTGTGCATGGCAGCTGTGTGCATGTACACGGCATTTGGGGGCCCTGGCCAGAAAGCATCTTATATTTATGGGTGACATCAGCTATACCGCCCCCAAAAAGCTGATAGCCAATCATGTTAACTTTCCTTTTATCTGTACTGATCTGATTTTATATTGGTGCACCCCTGGTTACTAGGTAACCTTTTTTAGGCTCCTGCTTAATTCCATATGGACAAAAGACTGGTCCACAGGAGGGGATGTGAAACTCAAATTTTACCTGCTTTTCACAGGGAAGGCACTTCAGCTCATTTCTGAGTGGGCCATGATCTACGGGTTTGTGGTTGAGAGTGAAGTTGCCGAGCTGCAGTCAGCAGTGGTGCAGCATTGACTTAGCTGAAGCACCCCCCAGGCACCACATCAGAAGAGTTGCTTTTGATGGGCAAGTTCCTGCTTTTTGGCAGGCACTTGCCAACAGCTTGTGTGGACTCCCTCTCTGGAGAGGTTTTGATTTTAGCAAACAGTTGGCCCCAGCCATTGCCCCCCATGCAGGGTGACTCTGCTCGGTGGAGATCTTGTGGTAAGAATGGGCGGCGGGGGGGAGCAGTTGACAAGGGTGGAACAACCTGCTACAATAGCTGAGAAAATCTTCTGGGTCGGAGGGTTACCATCAGCTCGGTCAAATAGCATTCCTTCATTATGGCATCACTGCGTCCATCCTCTGGAGAGGAAGTAAACCGTGCACTGTAAAGCAATCTGTTGGCAGTTCGCACTTCAATGCTTGAGTTTTTCCAGGCCTCGTTTGCTTTGTCACTCTTTTTCTCTTTACATTTCGGTTTGAAGGTGATGGTGGTTACGCTGTCAAACGCATGCTTAAAGCACAGCTAAGTGTCTGCTACGAGGACACGGGCAGACAAGGTTCTTCGGGTAAATCCAATATCTTTTATTAGACCAACTGAAATAGTTGGAAAAACAACGTATACCCCTGCTACGAGGACACGGGCAGACAAGGTTCTTCGGGTAAATCCAATATCTTTTATTAGACCAACTGAAATAGTTGGAAAAACAACGTATACCCCTGCTACGAGGACACTGATTTAAAGGAAGCGACCTACTGCAGGCCAGAGATACTGCATCACGGCTTTGTTTTGGCTTCGTTTTTCTCTTATCTCTACGTGGTGTTAACCAAGGCTGGCTTCCATGAAGGTCTAAGAATGGGTGGCAGCATGTGTGGTTTTTTTGGTCTTTTCTGAACTCCATTATGTCACTGAGTTGAAAGCTTGCATTGCTTCTTGTGGCAGCATTAACAGCTTTTCTGCTCCAGCATGTTCATTTTCTTTTTTTTCTTTTTGTCTCTAAAAACCTTGCCCATGTGAATGCCACTTAGCGGAAAATGTCGTGGCCTATGTGCAGTGTTTGAATGGATGTTTAATATAAATCGGGGCTGTCCAATGGGGGGCCTGAGGGCTTAATGTGCAGCTCACGGGCTCCTACCCACTCGCCACTCTGCCTGTTCCTCTTGCGGCAGTGGCTGGGGACTCTGAGCTCCTGCTCCACCTCTGGCGTCCCTGTCCCAAATACTGGGGGGGGGTTGCACAGCAGGAGGGGCCAGGCTGCCTGTGTTGTGGGGGAGGGAGCTGAGCTGTGCTTGGCAAAGGAGGGAGCATTGGCTGTGTGCTGCTGGTGACTTATCTGTGCAGCCAGGAATAGGATGCATTGGGGGGGCGGTTCCTTGTGTGGCTAGGGAGGGCAGCTACAGTATGCAGACCCCAAATGCTCATTGAGCAGCCTTGATGGAAGGTGTTCTGTCGGCATCAAGCATTGTGGTCACGCACGGGGTCAAACCTAGCACGTGCCTTTGACTGGCCTCTGGAGCAGACGTATTTTTGTGACGATTTATATCTTGGTGGGGCTCAAACCTCTGGTTGGGCCCCAGGTACCGTGGTTTCGGGTCTTATTCATGTACCCTGCCATACAAGCACAGAGAGCCAGGTTGTGCTTCACAGCTCTGCTGGGATCTAATGATGTCTTCTGTTTATCGGTTTTGTTTTTTCCAGTTTCTAGGTGGCAGAGACGCAGTGAAACGCTGCGTGGGGCAGGAAGAGCGGATGAGGGAGCCTGGAGCGGAAATAGAGATGGATTGGCTGTGACAGCGTGCCTTAGCCGGGGAGGCAGTTATGATGAAGAGTTCCTGCAGAGCTGGCCTCCACAGGGAACCTCTGAATTCCACATCCTCCACCGTCCACCACGTCAAAAGGTAGGAACAGACCAGCGGGTCCAGGAAGAATTAAATGCGTAGCAGTGGTTAGGCCTGCTCCTTAGTTCCCTGTTACTTTGTGTGTCCATCAAATACCCTAAATGCGCTGTTGGGGCTAACATTTGTGTTTTTTTGTTTGAGCAGAATATTAGCAATAGCTGGAAAGGCTTGAGGGCAGAATTGTTCCCTAACACTTTGATTTGATAAGGACAATTACAGATTCATTACTGCCGCAAAAAACCCCAAAGGCTTCTCTAAGCACAGCAGCAGCAACCACTGTAAATTTAATAAGGGAATGTAGCTTTTGAAGTCAAAGTATAATTGGAGAGTGGGTCATTGTAGGGCTTAAAACCTAAGAGCATGCTTAAAGCAAATAAAAATATATTGCGGTGATCTGTCTTGCCGTGGAGCAAGTAAATGGTATTAGCTGAAATTGTTTTCCTCGCTCACCTGTTTTATCTGCTTAAAATCAGCAGTGTGCCTCTTTTAAGCAGTGGTGTTTATAAAGCATTCCTACCAATGCTTTAAAGAAAATGCAGTTTAGAAAACACTGACCTCAAGTGGATATAAAGCATGTTTCTTGTTTTTAAAGCGTCTTCTAATCTTCTTGTGAGTGGAGGGCAAGGGCTGGCATTTAATTTCCAATACTTGTGTGCATTTGAACCCTACCAAATGCGTGTCAATAACTTTCTTGGCCTGGTGGATGGATGTGCTTCCTCCATCAGCTTGAGTAACTGGGAGCCAGATCCTGTAAACTAGGCAGAACTCGGGCCCTGGGCTAACAGATCCATGGGACCCAGATTGTCCGCTATGTTGTGTTTGGTTTGTTTTTTTTTCAGCATTGCTGGCTATACTGGTCAACCCCCATGCATTAGGGCTGTTCTGTGTCTGTGCCCCCAGAGCCTTGCCCTCCACCAAGGGAATCTTCTCATGAGTAGCCTTTGGCTTCCTGTGGCCTGCTTGAGCAGGGCACAAGGGGCAAGCCTGGGGCTGTGGATCCAGCCTGAAGACCTCTTGGGGGGGGGGGGTTCCCAAAAGTCCAAGTGGGTGATTGTAATTTAACGCTAACTCTCATCTAGCACTACTTCTCTCCTAGATGTCAAAGTGCTTTACAAAGGAGTTCAGCATCGGTAGCCCCACTTGCAGAGGGGGAAGCAGAGGCGTGGGGAGGGGAAGTGACTTGTCCAAGGTAACTTTCCTGGGAAAGCACCGTGAGTTGTACCCTGTGGTCTGGTCCCGTGTAGCTGGTGGCACCATGGTTATGGAAGTGCAGAGAAGGAGGTTGCATGTCTCACTGCAGATTCTCTTCACATACTTGATTATTAAAATTTCAGGGTTTAGCCAAAAGCGTCCTGTTCAGCAATGCTGCTGTGATGCCTTGCGTTCTCATCATTCTCAATAGGATTAAGCTTCCCAGTCAGGAGAGTTCCTCACCAGCATGTTGCATTATGGGAAATGTAGTCCTTTAGGGGAGTTTGGTCCACAGAAGGAGAAAACCTGGTTAGGTGGAAAGCTTTTCTACTAGGCATAATACAGACTTCTGTTCCATATTCTGACCCTTCGTAAAGCAAGTAAACCGACCAACCTACATTTCTAGGCCAGGAGTTGGCAGCCTTTTAGGAGTAGTGGACTGAATTAAGGGAGCTCAGTCTGAAGGCAGACTGCTGCTACTTCACCTCCCAGCACTGTCCCGGCTGGGCTAAATTGCTTGGCAAGGTACGCCCCGAATCCTGCCCTCCAACTCCTGTTGAACACTGTTGATTTTGTGAAGCTATAACAACTGGTTCACATTTGAAGTATGCTCTGTCGTCCTGAGTCTGTGGGCAGCTTGAAACGAAACAAAAATAGCTCTTAGGCCATCACCTTTTACTAGGAACAAAGGTGTGATCTTGGTTCAGTTTAGTGAGCACAGATTCTAGTAAGCTCTTTATTATGAACATGAAGTAGCTTGTTTTAACCTGAGTTAACTGTTGCCATTGACCTCTGTGTTTCCTTCACAAGCTACGGTACCTCTCTTCCCTCCCAGTGAAGGACGCACGCTCTTTGTTCTGGCAGCTTGATTAGTGAATAAGTAATTAAATGACAGCTTTGCAATTTTACTTCATTTCTGATCATTTTTAGCAGAAATCTCCACTAATGCTTTTTTCCCCCCAACCATCTCAAGCTACTTTAGGAGCCCCAAAGCCATCAGTACATCTACCTTGATAAACTCCACAGTCACTCTCTCCACTGTAAAAACTGACACCTCAAAAACCAAGTGGTAGAGAGAGAGGGGCTGAATTTGATGGCAGGCCAAATAACATAAAGCATAAGATGCTGATTCTGCACACTTTTTTTTTTTGTATTGAATTTGTTCAAAAATATAGAATTTTAATTTTTTTAAAAAAGTACTTGCAGCTGCCACTACTCCCAGCTTGTCAAAAACAAAAATGTAAAAAATGGAGAGGTTGGGGTAGCTGTGAACTTGGTTGTGGCTCATCATTGTAAGTGAGTTTTGATCAGAAGTTTTATTTCGTGTAGAACATGTAGAATTGGAATATATGCTGCTGCTGCTGCTTTTCTTAAGTTTTTCTAATCTTCACAACTTTTCTTCCAAGAAAATCTCTCTCTAAGGTCGGTTAATAGTTTTGTTTTTTCCTAAAATACAGATGTTCCTCCCCTCCAGTGACCTGAAAGTTGAGGCAGGTAGCATCACTATTCTGTTGGTCAGGCAGAGTTGGCACGGAAACTTGATAGCTGTCCAAAGCCATTGCAGTAGAGTTTTCATTGTGTCTGGATCTATTAAAAAGATACCAATGCTGAATTCAAATGAGGTAACTAGTTTGGTAGTAAAACTTGATTCAGTTGCTTTTATGTAAATTTTTAAATGAGTTAACCTTCAGTAATATTTTTTTTGCTTTGTCTTAGAGTAACCTAAATAGTGGAAGAAATGTAAGAGCTTAAATGAAGAATCTATAATAGATGATGTCCAACACTCCTTTGTCTTTCTCCATAGACCATAAATAGCTTTGAACAGCTGAACTAAACTCTACCGGCTAAACTTGTCGTCTAAGCATGTTGGTATAATCAGTTTAGTCCCATTTTTACTCCTCTAATACTCTGTCTTACCTTCACTTGCTGTCTCCTTAATAGAGGAAGTCAGCAGGGTAAATATCCTTTGTCAGAGAAAACGTTCAATGCATATGTAAAACAGCAGTCTGTTCAACCTTGCAAACTTCCCAACATGCAGTGGTCAGGGGCCATGTTATTTCTAGTTTGCAAAGTGGTACATATAGCTGCATAGTGCATTTTCATGGGTATGGCTCCCGGTTAAGTGATGTGCTACCTGCTGAACTGCAAGCCCTGCTTTCTGTAGCTGCCTATGCTTTTTTTTTTTTTTTT